AGTCTCTCTCACTGCTGTAGTCTCTCTCACTGCTGTAGTCTCTCTCACTGCTGTAGTCTCTCTCACTACTGTAGTCTCTCTCACTGCTGTAGTCTCTCTCACTGCTGTAGTCTCTCTCACTGCTGTAGTCTCTCTCACTGCTGTAGTCTCTCTCACTGTTGTAGTCTCTCTCACTGCTGTAGTCTCTCTCACTGCTGTAGTCTCTCTCACTACTGTAGTCTCTCTCACTGCTGTAGTCTCTCTCACTGCTGTAGTCTCTCTCACTGCTGTAGTCTCTCTCACTGTTGTAGTCTCTCTCACTGCTGTAGTCTCTCTCACTGCTGTAGTCTCTCTCACTACTGTAGTCTCTCTCACTGTTGTAGTCTCTCTCACTGCTGTAGTCTCTCTCACTGCTGTAGTCTCTCTCACTGCTGTAGTCTCTCTCACTGCTGTAGTCTCTCTCACTGCTGTAGTCTCTCTCACTGCTGTAGTCTCTCTCACTGCTGTAGTCTCTCTCACTACTGTAGTCTGTCTCACTACTGTAGTCTCTCTCACTGCTGTAGTCTCTCTCACTGCTGTAGTCTCTCTCACTACTGTAGTCTCTCTCACTGCTGTAGTCTCTCTCACTGCTGTAGTCTCTCTCACTGCTGTAGTCTCTCTCACTACTGTAGTCTCTCTCACTGCTGTAGTCTCTCTCACACTGCTGTAGTCTCTCTCACTACTGTAGTCTCTCTCACGCTGTAGTCTCTCTCACTGCTGTAGTCTCTCTCACTGCTGTAGTCTCTCTCACTGCTGTAGTCTCTCTCACTGTTGTAGTCTCTCTCACTGCTGTAGTCTCTCTCACTGCTGTAGTCTCTCTCACTACTGTAGTCTCTCTCACTGTTGTAGTCTCTCTCACTGCTGTAGTCTCTCTCACTGCTGTAGTCTCTCTCACTGCTGTAGTCTCTCTCACTGCTGTAGTCTCTCTCACTGCTGTAGTCTCTCTCATTGCTGTAGTCTCTCTCACTGCTGTAGTCTCTCTCACTACTGTAGTCTGTCTCACTACTGTAGTCTCTCTCACTGCTGTAGTCTCTCTCACTGCTGTAGTCTGTCTCACTACTGTAGTCTCTCTCACTGCTGTAGTCTCTCTCACTGCTGTAGTCTCTCTCACTGCTGTAGTCTCTCTCACTACTGTAGTCTCTCTCACTGCTGTAGTCTCTCTCACTGCTGTAGTCTCTCTCACTGCTGTAGTCTCTCTCACTACTGTAGTCTCTCTCACTGCTGTAGTCTCTCTCACTGCTGTAGTCTCTCTCACTGCTGTAGTCTCTCTCACTGCTGTAGTCTGTCTCACTGCTGTAGTCTCTCTCACTACTGTAGTCTCTCTCACTGCTGTAGTCTCTCTCACTGCTGTAGTCTCTCTCACTGCTGTAGTCTCTCTCACTGCTGTAGTCTCTCTCACTGCTGTAGTCTGTCTCACTGCTGTAGTCTCTCTCACTGCTGTAGTCTCTCTCACTGCTGTAGTCTCTCTCACTGCTGTAGTCTCTCTCACTGTTGTAGTCTCTCTCACTGCTGTAGTCTCTCTCACTGCTGTAGTCTCTCCACTGCTGTAGTCTCTCTCACTGCTGTAGTCTCTCTCACTGCTGTAGTCTCTCTCACTGTTGTAGTCTCTCTCACTACTGTAGTCTCTCTCACTGCTGTAGTCTCTCTCACTGTTGTAGTCTCTCTCACTGCTGTAGTCTCTCTCACTACTGTAGTCTCTCTCACTGCTGTAGTCTCTCTCACTGTTGTAGTCTGTCTCACTGCTGTAGTCTCTCTCACTACTGTAGTCTCTCTCACTGCTGTAGTCTCTCTCACTGCTGTAGTCTCTCTCACTACTGTAGTCTCTCTCACTGCTGTAGTCTCTCTCACTGCTGTAGTCTCTCTCACTACTGTAGTCTCTCTCACTGCTGTAGTCTCTCTCACTGCTGTAGTCTCTCTCACTGCTGTAGTCTCTCTCACTGTTGTAGTCTCTCTCACTGCTGTAGTCTCTCTCACTGCTGTAGTCTCTCTCACTGCTGTAGTCTCTCTCACTGCTGTAGTCTCTCTCACTGCTGTAGTCTCTCTCACTACTGTAGTCTCTCTCACTGCTGTAGTCTCTCTCACTGCTGTAGTCTGTCTCACTGCTGTAGTCTCTCTCACTACTGTAGTCTCTCTCACTGCTGTAGTCTGTCTCACTGCTGTAGTCTCTCTCACTACTGTAGTCTCTCTCACTGTTGTAGTCTCTCTCACTGTTGTAGTCTCTCTCACTGCTGTAGTCTGTCTCACTGCTGTAGTCTCTCTCACTACTGTAGTCTCTCTCACTGCTGTAGTCTCTCTCACTGCTGTAGTCTCTCTCACTGCTGTAGTCTGTCTCACTGCTGTAGTCTCTCTCACTGCTGTAGTCTCTCTCACTGCTGTAGTCTCTCTCACTGCTGTAGTCTCTCTCACTGCTGTAGTCTGTCTCACTGCTGTAGTCTCTCTCACTGCTGTAGTCTCTCTCACTGCTGTAGTCTGTCTCACTGCTGTAGTCTCTCTCACTGCTGTAGTCTCTCTCTCACTGCTGTAGTCTCTCTCACTGCTGTAGTCTCTCTCACTGCTGTAGTCTCTCTCACTGCTGTAGTCTCTCACTACTGTAGTCTCTCTCACTGTTGTAGTCTCTCTCACTGCTGTAGTCTCTCTCACTGCTGTAGTCTCTCTCACTGTTGTAGTCTCTCTCACTGCTGTAGTCTCTCTCACTGCTGTAGTCTCTCTCACTGCTGTAGTCTCTCACTACTGTAGTCTCTCTCACTGCTGTAGTCTCTCTCACTGTTGTAGTCTCTCTCACTGCTGTAGTCTCTCTCACTGCTGTAGTCTCTCACTACTGTAGTCTCTCTCACTGCTGTAGTCTCTCTCACTGTTGTAGTCTCTCTCACTGCTGTAGTCTCTCTCACTGCTGTAGTCTCTCTCACTGCTGTAGTCTCTCTCACTGTTGTAGTCTCTCTCACTGCTGTAGTCTCTCTCACTGCTGTAGTCTCTCTCACTGCTGTAGTCTCTCTCACTGCTGTAGTCTCTCTCACTGCTGTAGTCTCTCTCACTGCTGTAGTCTCTCTCACTGTTGTAGTCTCTCTCACTGCTGTAGTCTGTCTCACTGTTGTAGTCTCTCTCACTGCTGTAGTCTCTCTCACTGCTGTAGTCTCTCTCACTGCTGTAGTCTCTCACTACTGTAGTCTCTCTCACTGCTGTAGTCTCTCTCACTGCTGTAGTCTCTCTCACTGTTGTAGTCTCTCTCACTGCTGTAGTCTCTCTCACTGCTGTAGTCTCTCTCACTGCTGTAGTCTCTCACTACTGTAGTCTCTCTCACTGCTGTAGTCTCTCTCACTGCTGTAGTCTCTCTCACTGCTGTAGTCTCTCTCACTGTTGTAGTCTCTCTCACTGTTGTAGTCTCTCTCACTGCTGTAGTCTCTCTCACTGTTGTAGTCTCTCTCACTGCTGTAGTCTCTCTCACTGCTGTAGTCTCTCTCACTGCTGTAGTCTCTCACTACTGTAGTCTCTCTCACTGCTGTAGTCTCTCTCACTGCTGTAGTCTGTCTCACTGCTGTAGTCTCTCTCACTGCTGTAGTCTCTCTCACTGCTGACTCATTTGCATATGATGAAGAAGTTGTTATCGTTCAGTCAAATATAAATAACATCAAATAAACTTTACTGCTGTAAAAACATGACACAGTCTGAAGACTTTTCATCTCTGAAAATGAATAATTCAACTTTTTTTTATCTCAATGTTTTTTCTTAACTTGAATCTGGGTCATTTTAAGCCTTTTAGACTTTAATTTAGAGCATGTTTCTTCTTTTGTCGTAATTTTGACCCAGACTGTATACAGATGCTAATGCTAACACTGTATACAGATGCTAATGCTAACACTGTATACAGATGCTAATGCTAACACAGACTGTATACAGATGCTAATGCTAACACAGACTGTATACAGATGCTAATGCTAACACTGTATACAGATGCTAATGCTAACACAGACTGTATACAGATGCTAATGCTAACACAGACTGTATACAGATGCTAATGCTAACACAGACTGTATACAGATGCTAATGCTAACACAGACTGTATACAGATGCTAATGCTAACACAGACTGTATACAGATGCTAATGCTAACACAGACTGTATACAGATGCTAATGCTAACACAGACTGTATACAGATGCTAATGCTAACACAGACTGTATACAGATGCTAATGCTAACACAGACTGTATACAGATGCTAATGCTAACACAGACTGTATACAGATGCTAATGCTAACACAGACTGTATACAGATGCTAATGCTAACACAGACTGTATACAGATGCTAATGCTAACACAGACTGTATACAGATGCTAATGCTAACACAGACTGTATACAGATGCTAATGCTAACACAGACTGTAGACAGATGCTAATGCTAACACAGACTGTATACAGATGCTAATGCTAACACAGACTGTATACAGATGCTAATGCTAACACAGACTGTATACAGATGCTAATGCTAACACAGACTGTATACAGATGCTAATGCTAACACAGACTGTATACAGATGCTAATGCTAACACAGACTGTATACAGATGCTAATGCTAACACAGACTGTATACAGATGCTAATGCTAACACAGACTGTATACAGATGCTAATGCTAACACAGACTGTATACAGATGCTAATGCTAACACAGACTGTATACAGATGCTAATGCTAACACAGACTGTATACAGATGCTAATGCTAACACAGACTGTATACAGATGCTAACGCTAACACAGACTGTATACAGATGCTAATGCTAACACAGACTGTATACAGATGCTAATGCTAACACAGACTGTATACAGATGCTACATGCTAACACAGACTGTATACAGATGCTAATGCTAACACAGACTGTATACAGATGCTACATGCTAACACAGACTGTATACAGATGCTAATGCTAACACAGACTGTATACAGATGCTAATGCTAACACAGACTGTATACAGATGCTAATGCTAACCTGCTAGCTCTCTGAACCCCAATAGAGAAGTGCTCATCAGTAAACTTTTGCCACACTCTCTCTGGCTTTTTCTGTCTGTTTGTGTGTCTTTGTGTGTGTGTGTGTGTGTGTATGTGTGTGTCTCTGAGTGTGTGTGTCTGCAGCAGTGTGTTGTGACATCACCTTTGGACACTGGGTTGTAGTCCTCTCCAGAGACTGCAGACCCGTCTTTGGTGTGGACTCGGACCAGAGACACTTTGGACGTGTCTCCGAGGCGGACCACAGGGACCGTCACCACGGTAACAGACCCCGCCTCCTCCGGCTCACGCACACTGAACTTGGTCTCAGAGAAGCGGATGATTGGCTCTGGAGGACACAGGGTCACAGGACAGGTTTCTCCGTCACAATGGAAGACAAGAACAAAGCTGTCTTAAAACATCACTGTCTTTGCCCCAACAGCAAGAATAAATAATAGATCAGTGTGAGATCAGTGTGAGATCAGTGTGAGATCAGAGTGAGATCAGTGTGAGATCAGAGTGAGATCAGAGTGAGATCAGAGTGAGATCAGAGTGAGATGTGAGATCAGAGTGAGATGTGAGATCAGAGTGAGATCAGTGTGAGATCAGAGTGAGATCAGAGTGAGATCAGAGTGAGATCAGTGTGAGATCAGAGTGAGATCAGAGTGAGATCAGAGTGAGATCAGTGTGAGATCAGAGTGAGATCAGAGTGAGATCAGAGTGAGATCAGAGTGAGATCAGTGTGAGATCAGAGTGAGATCAGAGTGAGATCAGTGTTAGATCAGAGTAATACAATTGTTTTAAACAGCACCTTTCTGGACACACTTCCACAAATTAGCCACATTAGCTTAGCATGTTGCATTAGCGGCACGGTGGCTGAGTGTGATAGACACTCTCGCCTCTCAGCAAGAAGGTCCTGGGTTCGAATCCCGGTCGGACCAGGGCCTTTCTGAGTGGAGTTTGCATGTTCTCCCCGTGTCTGCGTAGGTTTCCTCCGGGTCCTCCGGTTTCCCCTACCACTAAAAATATGTACAATAGTTCTGGCATGTGCCTCCTGTACTGGCCCCTCCCACTCCCAAAAATAACAATTGTAAACCGCTTTGAGACTCCGATGTTCAGTGAAAAGGCGGTATATAAATAAAGATGACTTACTTACATTAGACGATAACGCTCTCTACACTGAGATTAAATGAACTAAAATCTGTGGTTACAAACTGCCTGCACTGACACAAACGGGTGGAACTCAGAATGTTACAATATCACACAAAAGTGTATCTATTTCTGTGAATGATGTGAGGTTTTTACAGCTTTGAGCCAGTTATCAACATTATAAACACGTACAGTAGAGGCGTCATATCTCACTCTGCCTGTGAGCTCATTTTAGGTTGAATTACAGAATCGAATCAAATGGACTTGTGAGCAATGATCTCAGACCAGATACGTACGGTCGGCAGAGTCCCGGATCCTGACCAGAGTCTCGCTCAGGTCTCCCACCGTGGCCCCGACCCCAGAGTCACTGCTGGGACTCCCCAAGACCAGCCTCAGCTCCTCCTCCTCCTCAAACAGAGAGTCATCCACCAGAGACAGCACACAGGGCTTCTCCGTCTCCCCTGGCAACACACACACAAGAACTGTGAGATCAGTGTGAGATCAGAGTGAGATCAGTGTGAGATCAGAGTGAGATCAGAGTGAGATCAGAGTGAGATCAGTGTGAGATCAGAGTGAGATCAGAGTGAGATCAGTGTGAGATCAGTGTGAGATGAGAGTTAGATCAGTGTGAGATCAGTGTGAGATGAGAGTTAGATCAGTTAGATCAGAGTGAGATCAGTGTGAGATCAGTGTGAGATCAGAGTGAGATCATAGTTAGATCTGTGTGAGATCAGTGTGAGATCAGAGTGAGATCAGTGTGAGATCAGTGTGAGATCAGACTGAGATCAGAGTGAGATCAGAGTGAGATCAGAGTGAGATCAGTGTGAGATCAGTGTGAGATCAGAGTGAGATCAGTGTGAGATCAGAGTGAGATGAGTGTGAGATGAGTGTGAGATGAGTGTGAGATCAGAGTGAGATCAGAGTGAGATCTGTGTGAGATCTGTGTGAGATATGTGTGAGATCTGTGTGAGATCAGTGTGAGATCAGTGTGAGATCAGAGTGAGATCAGAGTGAGATCAGTGTGAGATGAGAGTTAGATCAGAGTGAGATCAGAGAGAGATCAGTGTGAGATCAGTGTGAGATGAGAGTTAGATCAGAGTGAGATGAGTGTGAGATGAGTGTGAGATCAGAGTGAGATCAGTGTGAGATCAGTGTGAGATCAGAGTGAGATCAGAGTGAGATCAGTGTGAGATCAGTGTGAGATGAGTGTGAGATCAGTGTGAGATCAGAGTGAGATCAGAGTGAGATGAGTGTGAGATGAGTGTGAGATCAGAGTGAGATCAGAGTGAGATCAGTGTGAGATCAGAGTTAGATCAGAGTGAGATCAGTGTGAGATCAGTGTGAGATCAGAGTGAGATCAGTTAGATCTGTGTGAGATCAGTGTGAGATCAGTGTGAGATCAGACTGAGATCAGATTGAGATCAGAGTGAGATCAGTGTGAGATCAGTGTGAGATCAGAGTGAGATCAGAGTGAGATCAGTGTGAAATCAGTGTGAGATCAGAGTGAGATCAGAGTGAGATGAGTGTGAGATCAGAGTGAGATCAGAGTGAGATAAGAGTGAGATCAGAGTGAGATCAGTGTGAGATGAGAGTTAGATCAGTGTGAGATCAGAGTGAGATCAGTGTGAGATCAGTGTGAGATCAGTGTGAGATCAGAGTGAGATCAGAGTGAGATCAGTGTGAGATGAGTGTGAGATGAGTGTGAGATGAGTGTGAGATCAGAGTGAGATCAGAGTGAGATCAGAGTGAGATCTGTGTGAGATCAGAGTGAGATCTGTGTGAGATCAGAGTGAGATCAGTGTGAGATCAGTGTGAGATCAGTGTGAGATCAGAGTGATATCAGAGTGAGATGAGTGTGAGATGAGTGTGAGATCAGAGTGAGATCAGAGTGAGATCAGTGTGAGATCAGAGTGAGATCAGTGTGAGATCAGAGTGAGATCAGTGTGAGATGAGAGTTAGATCAGTGTGAGATCAGAGTGAGATCAGTGTGAGATCAGTGTGAGATCAGAGTGAGATCAGAGTGAGATGAGTGTGAGATCAGAGTGAGATCAGAGTTAGATCAGTGTGAGATCAGTGTGAGATCAGAGTGAGATCAGAGTGAGATCAGTGTGAGATCAGAGTGAGACAGAGTGAGATCAGTGTGAGATCAGTGTGAGATCAGAGTGAGATCAGTGTGAGATCAGAGTGAGATCTGTGTGAGATCAGAGTGAGATCAGAGTGAGATCAGTGTGAGATCAGAGTGAGATCTGTGTGAGATCAGAGTGAGATCAGAGTGAGATCTGTGTGAGATCAGAGTGAGATCAGAGTGAGATCTGTGTGAGATCAGAGTGAGATCAGAGTGAGATCTGTGTGAGATCAGAGTGAGATCAGAGTGAGATCAGTGTGAGATCAGAGTGAGATCAGTGTGAGATCAGAGTGAGATCAGAGTGAGATCAGTGTGAGATCAGAGTGAGATCAGAGTGAGATCAGAGTGAGATCAGAGTGAGATCAGAGTGAGATCAGAGTGAGATCAGTGTGAGACGTGAGATCACCTGGGAGGAAGGTGATGGTGGAGGCCTCAGTGTTGGGGAGTTCCTGGAAGTCCTCTGAGACCTGAGCTGATCCCTGTCGACTGAAACATCGAACGCTGGTGCTGTGGCCGAGGTCACCGCGGCGCGTCACCACGGCAACCACCGACCCATCACTCTCCTCCACCGACTGATGCGGACTCAGGAACTGTAGAGAGGGACCTGAAGGAGAGAGAGGGGGTTAGACACCGAGACACACACACAGAGACACACACAGAGACACACACACACACACACACACAGAGACGCACACACACACACACACACACACAGAGACACACGCACAGAGACACACACACCGAGACACACACACCGAGACACACACACAGAGATACACACACACACACACACAAAGACACACACACACACACACACAGAGACACACACACACACAGACACACACATACACGTTTTTGTTACCTGGTGGGTCCCTTTGACAGGGCCGTTCAGAATGGGACCCATAGACATAATCTTTTTTTACCAAGACTTTAAGTAATACAAAACAGTCAATAGAAACCAAACAACTATTTTAAAGGAATTTTATTTTAGATTTTGTTTTCGAATTGCAGTGATTCTATTTTTGACATAGAATTTAATGCCACTCCATGTCCGATGTCTAAGGTCATCTGGTGAGGCATTAATGCAGGCCAGGCCAGGCCAGGCCAGGCAGTGAGACTTCCCAGGGACCTTTCCAGTCTGTATGAAAGGTGTCATGGTCTTCTCCACAGCCTTCACCTCAGATGCAGACCATGGCTTTCTTACACGTTCTAGGGAGAGAAATAAAAATATATTAGCAATATACACTCCCAGGGTGAGGACCAAGCAGCCTGGCTGTAATCCCCCACCTGGTACACTTACCAGAAGGGGCACTGCCACTACCATGGGGTGCATCTGGATGAATGGTTGAAGGTTCTCCGCTTGAAGTTTCTTTTAGCCCGTCCGTTTGTGAGAGGATCTCTACTGCTCTCCCTGTCGCACAGAAAATAAAAATACAAGTGGCCTTTAGGGGAAAAAAATCATACATATTTTAATAATATCAAGAATTACCTTCAGGCTCAATTTGTATCTGGTCGAGGCTCTTTCCTTCGAATTCCGTCACTCTTCCCTGCTCCATGGCCATCAACACTTTGCTGATTTTGGCCAGCTCCAGTGTCCCCTCTGGTAGTCTGTAATATTGCCTGTGGATGCGAATGTCATGGCCGAGGAAGTTGGCAAGTATGTCCATCTCATTCTCTTTCATATTGAGAACTGTAGACATAGTAGCTATGTGCTTTCTAAGTTTGGTTGAGGATAGCATCTCTGGATGCACCGCACCACATTCTTTGGCTACCTGGCGTAGGGAGTCTGATCCCCTGATGTGGGTGTCTGCGCCCGGGCGGGAAAAGAAGTATGGGTTATGGTCAGAGATGGAACAGGCCCTTCTGTTCTCCACCAGCACCTCCATCGAAGCAATCATTTCAGGAGTCAAAAGAACCGGCACTTTCCGACTTCTTTTCCCTTTAATTTCAATGCGTTGAAAATGCTGACACAGCTTTTTCTCAAGTTGGGACAGTCCCAGAGCAATGTCAGAATGGATCCCAGTCTTACTTCTTAAGGTAAAGGCTGTCAGTGGCATCTTTGAAACCTCACCTTCCCTTCTTCGATTGAAAATGATGACCTCACAAAGAGTCAAAACTGCCAGTTTAGACCAATGCTTAGACGTTGGCTCACTTATTAGGGTTTGCACATATTCAGGTCGACATACCTCAATATGTGCATGCATGGCTCTAACGTCCTCAGTCAGAGGGAGCAGGTCCGGAGTGTTCCACTTGGCTTGCCGGAGGGTCTGTAGGGCAGCAGAAGAAACACAGACGTCCCACCTCTTCTCAAAAAGCAGCCGGCTTCGTTGGAGGTTTTTAATAAATAGTTCATCAACACAATGCTCCATTTTTGAGTCACATTCAAGAATATCTGCTAGCTTTCTGAGGCTATGGCCGAGTTTGAGGGCCAAGGATGGAGTCTTGTATTGATTTGTTTCCTCATCATATCCAGCCACAGACCTGACTGCATCAATCACATGGTTAAAGTTGGAAGGAATAAAGAAATCCTTAATTGTTTTCAGTTTCCCTGCGGTTTTTGCTTCGTTAATTAACCTACCGACTTCTCTCATTTTCTGCCTAATGTAATCATGCTTAGTCTTATCATGCCCGTGTTTTAAGTACAGGTGCTCTCCGAGTCTCAGAATCCCCTTTTCTGCTTTGACAACACCCGTGACCTCATCCTGATGCATTGCCCAAATTAAAGACCACAGCTTTTTGTTGATGCCCTCCGGTACAGGCTGGGCTAGGGAGCAGAGGGACTGGACCCTACTTCTACCTGGTTTAGCCTGGTTTAGCCTGGTTTAGCCTGGGCATCTTTCTGTGAAAGCCGGCACCTGCCACATGCCTCCACAGCGACTTTCGCTTAAGCAATGCCCCACAGTCTATACAGTGCAAAAACTCACTGGATTTAACTGGGGAATTTGGCTGTTTAGCTGGGACTAAAGTTCCAATGCCGGCCTTTAAAACCTCAAAATTGTGCTCACGGTTTCCACTATTCCTGATCAAATCAAACTGAAGTTTACGTGCTTTAGATTTCACAGGTAGAGCCAATGCTCTGGCTACGTCACTTTCATTTCCATGTTTTCTAGTCAAATGACGGGACATTTTGTGGCAGGACATTGAACAGTAGAGGCAGAAGTGTCTCTTGCTGTAAACTCGCCCCCCATTTTTCTTCTTTTGCAGCTGCATGATAACAATCTTATTTGCCTTTGGTTCGTCACTTTCCGAGTCTTGAAGAAAAGTGTTTTTGATTTGTCTTTTTCCATACTTTTTTACAGGTTTCTTCTTGACAGTTAAATCGTCAGAATCTGAGTCGACTTCATCAATTAGGGACTCTTGACTAAGCTGCACAAACAACAAATAATTTGTAATCATTCTATATAACAATTTGAAGTCATGACTTGTAGTCAGCACTTACCAGTGGTTTGTAAGCGTGCGCTTCAGTGTGCTGCTCTGTGATTGGCTGCAGCCTAATGAACCACACACTTGCACCTTTTTCTAGCCTGACACCTGATTTCCTCTGTTGTGCTGCTCCATGATTGGCTCCAGCCTGCTGGACTGAAATTGCCCCAGTGTGCCCCTCCTTGATATCCCGCAACCCACCACCAGGGTTCCGACACATAACACACTTTTTTCAGGAAAGTAAACCTCCAGGGGTCCTTTCCATATTTTTACAGAGACTGCATAAGGACCGTTAGAAAAGCATTACCCATTGATTATTAAGCTTGGACCAGTGGGGTCCGGTGTTCGGGCCCCACCACGTAAAACCAGTCCCCATGACGTGAGTGGAATCTCAGGTTATGGAACCCACCAGGAGTTGAAAACAAGTGCACAGAGACACACACACACAAACTCACACAGACACACACACACAGAGACACAGAGACACACACACACACACACACACAGAGACACACACGCACACACACACACACAGCGACACAAAGACACACACACACAGAGACACACAGAGACACACACACAAACACGCACACAGAGACACAAACACACACGCACACAGAGACACACACAGAGACACAGAGACACACACAGAGACACACACACACACACACACACACACACACAAAGACACACACACAAACACGCACACAGAGACACACACACACACACACATACAGAGACACACACACACACACACATACAGAGACACACACACAGAGACACACACACAGAGATACACACACAGAGACACACACACACACACACAGAGACACACACACACACACACAGAGACACAGAGACACGCACACACACACAGAGACACACACACACACACACACACACACACACACACACACAGAGACACAGAGACATACAGAGACACACACACACAGAGACACACACACACACACACAGAGACACACACACACACACACACAGAGACACACACACACACACAGAGACACACACACACACACAGAGACACACACACACAGAGACACACACACACACGCACACAGAGACACACACACGCACACAGAGACACACACACACAGATTTGATACTAGCTTCATGATGATGCTAAAGCTGAATGTGTTATTGCAGACTCACGGTCCGACAGGGAGTCGTTGATGAAGACCGTGGCTCTGGACGGCTTTCCCAGAATGCCGTTCACCGCCATGTGCAGCTGCAGGTGGAAGCTCTCGGCGCCCTCCAGCTCGGGACGTCCCATATCGTCCAGAATGGTCACTCTGAAGGTCTGCACGCTCACACCAGGAGCGAAGTCAAGGTTCCGACTGATGCCCACATAGTCCACACCAGCTGCAGGACCAGAGGAGCAGGTTTCAGATGCGTCTGGTTCATGGTTACTAGCTCAACAAAGTCCAATAGGGAAGCGCTCATGGATGAAGTTTGCTCTTACTCTCTGGCTCCTATTGACTTCCATGTTAGAAACTCAGTAACTGTTTGTGTCACACTCACCATTTTGGTCTCTCTCTGGTCTCTCTCTGGTCTCTCTCTCTGGTCTCTCTCTCTGGTCTCTCTCTCTGGTCTCTCTCTGGTCTCTCTCTGGTCTCTCTCTGGTCTCTCTCTGGTCTCTCTCAGGTCTCTCTCAGGTCTCTCTCTGGTCTCTCTCTGGTCTCTCTCTGGTCTCTCTCTGGTCTCTCTCTGGTCTCTCTCAGGTCTCTCTCTGGTCTCTCTCTGGTCTCTCTCAGGTCTCTCTCTGGTCTCTCTCTGGTCTCTCTCTGGTCTCTCTCAGGTCTCTCTCTGGTCTCTCTCTGGTCTCTCTCTGGTCTCTCTCTGGTCTCTCTCTGGTCTCTCTCTGGTCTCTCTCTGGTCTCTCTCTGGTCTCTCTCAGGTCTCTCTCAGGTCTCTCTCAGGTCTCTCTCAGGTCTCTCTCTGGTCTCTCTCTGGTCTCTATCTGGTCTCTCTCTGGTCTCTCTCAGGTCTCTCTCTGGTCTCTCTCTGGTCTCTCTCTGGTCTCTCTCTGGTCTCTCTCTGGTCTCTCTCTGGTCTCTCTCAGGTCTCTCTCTGGTCTCTCTCTGGTCTCTCTCTCTGGTCTCTCTCTCTGGTCTCTCTCTGGTCTCTCTCTGGTCTCTCTCTGGTCTCTCTCTGGTCTCTCTCTGGTCTCTCTCTGGTCTCTCTCTCTGGTCTCTCTCTGGTCTCTCTCTGGTCTCTCTCTGGTCTCTCTCTGGTCTCTCTCTCAGGTCTCTCTCTCTGGTCTCTCTCTGGTCTCTCTCTGGTCTCTCTCTGGTCTCTCTCTCAGGTCTCTCTCTCTCTCTCTGGTCTCTCTCTGGTCTCTCTCTGGTCTCTCTCTCAGGTCTCTCTCTCTGGTCTCTCTCTGGTCTCTCTCTCAGGTCTCTCTCTCTGGTCTCTCTCTGCTCTCTCTCAGGTCTCTCTCTGGTCTCTCGCTGGTCTCTCTCTCTGGTCTCTCTCTGGTCTCTCTCTGGTCTCTCTCACTGGTCTCTCTCTGGTCTCTCTCTCTGGTCTCTCTCTCTGGTCTCTCTCTGGTCTCTCTCTGGTCTCTCTCTGGTCTCTCTCTGGTCTCTCTCTCTGGTCTCTCTCTGGTCTCTCTCTGGTCTCTCTCTGATCTCTCTCTGGTCTCTCTCTGGTCTCTCTCTGGTCTCTCTCTGGTCTCTCTCTGGTCTCTCTCTGGTCTCTCTCTGGTCTCTCTCTGGTCTCTCTCTGGTCTCTCTCAGGTCTCTCTCACGTCTCTCTCTGGTCTCCCTCTGGTCTCTCTCAGGTCTCTCTCTGGTCTCTCTCTGGTCTCTCTCTGGTCTCTCTCTGGTCTCTCTCTGGTCTCTCTCTGGTCTCTCTCTGGTCTCTCTCTGGTCTCTCTCAGGTCTCTCTCAGGTCTCTCTCTGGTCTCTCTCTGGTATCTCTCTGGTCTCTCTCTGGTCTCTCTCTGGTCTCTCTCTGGTCTCTCTCTGGTCTCTCTCAGGTCTCTCTCTGGTCTCTCTCTGGTCTCTCTCTGGTCTCTCTCTGGTCTCTCTCTGGTCTCTCTCAGGTCTCTCTCTGGTCTCTCTCTGGTCTCTCTCTGGTCTCTCTCTGGTCTCTCTCAGGTCTCTCTCTGGTCTCTCTCTGGTCTCTCTCGGGTCCCAAGAACACCCAAGAACAGTCCTGAAGGTTCCACTCACTTCTCCCTGATTTCTTCCGTTCAAACTCGTCCCGGTTCCTCCTCGTTCCCACCTCCATCTCGTCCCGATCCCACGCCTCATCAAGAGGGAATAGAAAGTTCCGCTGGATTGATAATTCATGCAGGAAGTCTTTCGGAAAAAGGAAGCGCGACCGAACGCAAACGCCGCGTCGAGCTAATTGGTGTCACGAGGGAGCTCCACATCAAAGAGGATTTAACAAAGAAGACTCGGTCCTTTCGCTTCCGACAGACATAAAATGGCCGCCGCTGCCATTAAGCGTCGCACCTGCAGGCGAGCGGCGTCATCGGGTCTCCAAAGTGAACTCCTGTCTCGTCTGTGTTTTTGTGAGTCTCGCTGTGGCTTCGTCTCTGGCACAGAATGGCTCAAAATGGCTCAGAATGGCTCAGAGCGACAGAGTCAGTTCTCTGATTGTTTCTCGAGAGAATCTGCGAGTTTGTCTTTTCGGACGGAGACGTTATTTCCATCGACTGACGCGAGGTGAGGTGAGGAGTTCAGACCGGGACGAGTCTGAGTTTGGAATCTGCAAAACCAGGAGAGGAGTCGAAACCAGCGCAGACTCTGAACTTTTCTGTGGGAGAAACAAGACGAGAGAAACGAGAAACGACTGTTATTATAAAATTCTGAAATGCAAATGGACCAGAGAGAGACCGAAGAGAGAGACTAGAGGGAGACCAGAGAGAGACCAGAGAGAGAGACTAGAGAGAGACCAGAGAGAGACCAGAGAGACACCAGAGAGAGACCAGAGAGAGAGACTAGAGAGAAACCAGAGAGAGACCAGAGAGAGACCAGAGAGAGACCAGAGAGAGACCAGAGAGAGACCAGAGAGAGACCAGAGAGAGAGACTAGAGAGAAACCAGAGAGAGACCAGAGAGAGAGACCAGAGAGAGACCAGAGAGAGACCAGAGAGAGACTAGAGAGAAACCAGAGAGAGACCAGAGAGAGACCAGAGAGAGACCAGAGAGAGAGACTAGAGAGAAACCAGAGAGAGACCAGAGAGAGACCAGAGAGACACCAGAGAGAGACCAGAGAGAGAGACTAGAGAGAAACCAGAGAGAGACCAGAGAGACACCAGAGAGACACCAGAGAGACACCAGAGAGACACCAGAGAGAGACCAGAGAGAGAGACTAGAGAGAAACCAGAGAGAGACCAGAGAGTTGGACCATAGAGAGACCAGAGATAGACCACAGAAAGTCCAGAGAGTTAGACCAGAGAGAGACCAGATAGAGTCCAGATAGAGACCAGAGAGAGACCAGAAAGACACCAGAGAGAGAGCAGAGAGAGACCAGAGAGTTGGACCATAGAGAGAGCAGATTATACATTATTGTCTTGTTTATTGGAATCAAATCAATGGTCCACACTTTGTGAACGCAGATGCTGATGTTGTAATAACGGGTCCAGCTCCTTCTGCCTGGAGCTGATCAGATTATCACAGGTCATTATTCGGAGGATTTCTGAAATATGCAGCGTTTGTATTTACCTCGTCTCACAAGAGTTTAGTCTGAAATCTATATTCTCCAAATGTAGACGTCAGAGAGTGAAGTCAACTCTGTCAAAGTCTGCCCACATCCAGCTGTGAACCTAATCACACTCTCTCTGGTCTCTCTCTCTGGTCTCTCTCTCTGGTCTCTCTCTGGTCTCTCTTTCTGGTCTCTCTCTGGTTTCTCACTGGTCTCTCTCTCTGGTCTCTCTCTGGTCTCTCTCTCTGGTCTCTCTCTCTGGTCTCTCTCTGGTCTCTCTCTCTGGTCTCTCTCTGGTTTCTCACTGGTCTCTCTCTCTGGTCTCTCTCTGGTCTCTCACTGGTCTCTCTCTGGTCTCTCTCTGGTCTCTCTCTGGTCTCTCTCTCTGGTCTCTCTCTGGTTTCTCACTGGTCTCTCTCTCTGGTCTCTCTCTCTGGTCTCTCTCTGGTCTCTCTCTCTGGTCTCTCTCTCTGGTCTCTCTCTGGTCTCTCTCTCTGGTCTCTCTCTCTGGTCTCTCTCTGGTCTCTCTCTCTGGTCTCTCTCTCTGGTCTCTCTCTGGTCTCTCGCAAGTCTCTCTCTGTTTTTTCTCTAGTTTCTCTCTAGGCTCTCTCTGCTCTCTCTCTGTAGTCTCTCTTTTTTTCTGGTCTCTCGCTCTCTGCTCTCTCTCTCTACTCTCTCTCTCTGCTCTCTCTCTCTACTCTATCTCTCTCTCTACTCTCTCTGCTCTCTCTCTGCTCTCTTTCTCTCTATCTCTCTCTCTCTGCTCTCTCTCTCTATGCTCTTTCTCTCTGCTCTCTTTCTCTCTCTCTCTCTCTGTTTCTCTCTCTCTCTCTACTCTCTCTCTCTCTTTCTCTCTCTCTCTCTACTCTCTCTCTTTCTCTCTCTCTCTGCTCTTTCTCTCTCTCTCTCTCTCTCTCTCTCTGATATGTAGAAGGATTTCTTGTTGTTTTTGTGTAGCTAAAAATACCTAATCCATTTTTGGAGATCAGAATCTGATCCTGAAAACAAACGCAGACAGAGGAGAAGGCGTGACGTTGGCAGTGACCCTCGAGCCTAAAACACAATCAGCAATAAACGTATTTATAAGTATAGATCTCTTACACAAATATGAATCATTTATGTCATAGTTTTAGAGATAGAGACCAGAGAGAGACCAGACAGAGACGAGAGAGAGAGACCCCAGAGAGAGAGAGACCAGAGAGAGAGACCAGAGAGAGACCAGAGAGAGACCTGAGAGGGACCAGAGAGAGCGACCTCAGATAAAGACCAGAGAGAGACCAGAGAGAGACCAGAGAGAGACCAGAGAGAGAGACCAGAGACAGACCAGAGAGAAACCTGAGAGAGACCAGAGAGAGAGACCAGAGACAGATCAGAGAGAGACCAGAGAGAGACCTGAGAGAGACCAGAGAGAGAGACCAGAGACAGACCAGAGAGAGACCTGAGAGAGACCAGAGAGAGACCTGAGAAAGACCAGAGAGAGAAACCAGAGACAGACCAGAGAGAGACCTGAGAGAGACCAGAGAGAGCGACCTCAGATAGAGACCAGACGAAACCTCCAGACAACAACATGCCTCCTCCGTCTCTGCTCGTCCTGATCCTCAGGGGGGTATCCAGTGATGACGCCCTTGGAGGTGGAGTGACCGCGCTTTGGGTTTCGGGTCAATACGGATCCAGGTAGAGTTACGCAATAACATTGTGAATTATTAACGACGGCGAGGAGGGGGCAAGGAGGGGGGGGGGGATGGGGGAGAGGAGTAGCCGAGATGGGGGAGAGATGGGGGTGAGATAGAGGAAAGATGGGGGAGAGGAGTGGCCGAGATGGGGGGGAGAGATGGTGGAGAGATGGGGGTGAGGAGAGGGAGAGATGGGGCAGAGATGGGGCCGAGATGGGGGGAAAGATGGGGGTGAGGAGAGGGAGAGATGGGGCAGAGATGGGTGGAGAGATGGGGGTGAGGAGAGGGAGAGATGGGGCAGAGATGGGGCCGAGATGGGGGGAAAGATGGTGGAGAGATGGGGGTGAGATGGGGCCGAGATGGGGGGAGAGATGGTTGTGAGGAGAGGGAGAGATGCATATTTCCCACTGCTCTGTGTGAGGGCTGGGGCTGCAGAGTGATTATCTGGTTATTGAGGGAGTCACGCAGGCGCTTCGGACCGATTAGGATCACTTCTGTCTTCTCCGGGTTGAGAAGTAGGAAGTTAAGAGTCATCCACATTTTAAGGTCCTTTATGCAGGCACTAAGCTTTTCTAGCTGATCTGTCTGATTTGGCTTCATCGACAGATAAAGCTGTGTGTCATCTGCAGCAGTGGAAATTAATTCCATGCTTTTTAATAATGTTTCCTAACGGCAGCATGTAGAGAGTGAAAAGAATCAGTCCGAGTACCGAACCCTGCGGCACACCGAATTCTACTCCAGAATAAGGCGACGAGTTCTGATTTACGTTGACGAAGTGATACCGATCTGATAAATAGGATTTAAACCAGCCAAGGGCTGTTCCTCTAAGACCTATATCACATTCTAGCCTCTGCAGTAGAATGCTGTGGTCTATTGTGTCAAATGCAGCACTAAGGTCCAGTAGGACCAGCACTGACTAGGGCTGGGATAAACGATTATTTTTTAAACGATTAATCTAGCGATTATTTTTTCGATGCATCGATTAATCTAACGATTATTTTTTTCGCTTCGATTCGATTTCGATTCGATTCGATTCTCGATTATCTCCCCATTAATTGACTAATATTGATGTATACATGTTGATTTAAATATTTTAATGAAAAAAACATGAATTCCTTCACAAAAAATATGTATTGCTTGCTCTTAAAATTAAAAAATAAGACATTCTTAGAGGTAGCATAAAACCTTAAAGCCTTGAAAACACAGCTTACTGAAAAAAGTGCATCTTATCATTCTTGAAACAAACATTTGATGCTTAGCATTCAATAAAAATATGAAAAAGTTCAGCCAAATACTTGTGTAGAGCAACTAAAAGAAAACAGTAACCAATGTAAACTTGAAGGCTTTAAGCTAAACAAAGAGTGCTTTTCCAGCAAAAACAGTGGGAGCCATCAGCCCTGTCATGGCTACATAAGAGTGTAGAGTGGCCACAGGACGCGTCATCAGCCTACGTCAGCAGCCGCGGACTGCTATGAAAACATTAGCTTTGTGGTTTCACAGGCGCAGTTGACTGCTTAAACTAAACTTTGCACGAAACTTTGACTCTTAAAACCCACATGTGACAAAACGGAACCATCAACATATCGCCTCAAATTGCATTCAAAGTGACATTCGTGTCTGAATTCGTTCGTATTTTAACTTTTAAAGAAATTCACGGTCCGCCATCTTGGTTTGCTTCGGCTGCCGTGAGACGCGCATGCGCAGGTTTGCATTACATGATAAACAGCTGAGGCTGTGCATCTCTTCAAGGCAGTGTATCTCGGCGTTACACCGGCTTGCACTTCTCTAACACGGCACTTGCATTGCTACCGCTCGCCGCCATCTTTGTTTTGTGTGTGACGCACCGACGCGCATATTATACGTCGGTGTATTTTTTGCGTCGACGTCACCGATTACGTCGACGCGTTGTCCCAGCCCTAGCACTGACACTTGTCCATTATCAGCAGCTAGTAGTAAGTCATTTGTGACTTTGACTAGTGCCGTTTCAGTGCTAAGATGAGCTCTGAATCCTGATTGAAAGACTTCAAACATATTATTTTCCTGCAGGTGGCAGCGAAGCTGCTCAGCTATAAGTTTTTCCATGATTTTAGATATGAAAGTGAGGTTCGAGATCGGTCTGTAGTTTGTAAGTATTTCTGGGTCCAGGTTTGTTTTCTTCAGAAGGAGTTTGATTACCGCGGTTTTAAAAGCTTGTGGGACACAGCCACATTGTATGGATGCGTTTATTATATTTACAATAGGCTCAATTATCAAAGGAAGTATGTCTTTGAAGAGCCATGTCGGGACTTCGTCTAACATGCACGTTGAGGCTTTTGAGGATGTGACCACAGAGATCACCTCTGCTTGGCTCACAGCCATGAATTTATCGAGGCCCACTGAAGAGTCTAAGTGGGAAGTCACGTATGCCGCTTCAGCTTGTCCACTACCAACAGCAGGAGTAACCTCCTCCAGTTTGTCACGGATGGATGTAATTTTATTATTAACCTCTTAACTAACACCGGCGCGCCGGCGGCCGTTTTTATGTTTTTAAATGTTCTGCTGGCAATAGCAGATGTATTTTGAACACCAAACCCCAAAAGCTGTATATCATTTTAAAGCTTATTTTCTTATCTACATTTATATACAAGTGTAAACTACAGACTTTGCATTCAAAAGATATAACACATAATGTGGGCACAAAATAAATCAATTCCAAAATAGTTTTTTACCTTTGGGCTTGTGCTGTACAAATAAATCAGCTCTCCTCCCAGCTTGCAATACATCATTCTCTCTGGAACAGTCCAAAGGAAAATTATATCCACTTGTATTTCCCAAAGTAAAATCCATTCTGCAGAAATAATCCAAAAATGTGCATTTATCTTTAGCGAAAAAAACGAAAAAAAAGAGCACTGATGTTACTCTTTCACTTTTAACGGACTTTTAGCTTTGTTTTTCACCCAAACATCTGGTATCCACGTGTTCCTTAGTTCCTTATCTTTCAAATGAGACTACTCCCGAAAAGCTAGACCAATTTTTGGGTCTGCAAGAGCTCCCGCGAGTACAGCTAGTGCTGCTATTTGCGCATTGATCACTGATCTTTGTTGTGATCCCAACTTGTTTGCTTTTACTTCCGGGATTTACGATTGACATGTCCTTGTAGCCAATGAGGAAAGCTTTCGAACAAGGGGTGGGACAATGGTACACTTGTGCCAAATTGTGCCAAATGTGCACTACTTGATGAAAAGGAGAAACTGCATAAAAACTATAAAACTTAGAAGTCTGAAACTTTAGACAGTTGTTGTCAACAACACAATGAACAGAGGTTTTGAATATTGTGAACTTACAATGAAGTATGCCTTTTTTAGGGCCTTTAGAAATTGAAAATGTTAGGCGAGGCTAAAAAAATTGGGTTTTTTTCCTTGACTTCAAAGGATGCAGAGGAAAATAGGAATGACAAACATTATTTTAGTGTTTTTTTACATAAACTAGAAGGCTCTAGCTTTAAAATGATGCATCACACAAGCATGTGAGATGTAAGATGTGTTTTTAAATAAGCAAAGACATTTGGGTATGCCAAACTTTTGTGCACAAGCCAAAATGAGGCGGGTGTTAAGAGGTTTTAAAGAAGTGGAGAAAGTCGACACTGCTCAGTGAGCTTGGAATTTAAGGCTCGATTGTGCTATGGCAGTTTGTGAGTTTAGCGACGGTGCTAAACAAATATCTACTGTTATTTTTATTGGCTTCTATTAAAGTTGAATAGCATTGAGTTCGAGCCCTGCGAAGGGCATTCTTGTAGTTTCGGAGACCTGCTTTCCACTCCCTGTGGACAGGCTCCGAGTGGGAGTGGCGATATAGCCTCTCCAATTTTCTGACGTCCTGTTTTAAAGTGTGGAGTTGAACACTGTACCAGGGCGACGATGATATAATTCTAATAGTTTTCTGTTTTAAAGGAGCTGCTGCATTTAATGCAGATTTTAAAGACTCCATAGTGTTGTCCACGTTTGGTCAATGACTGAGGGACTGCAGCAGCTGTGAACAGGTTCACCTGCAGCAGTATTCAACATAGGCTGTATTAGTTCTTTGAACCTTGTGATAGATTTATCATTTAAGGTTCTTTTCATTATGGTTTTATCTTGCGGCGCAGAAAAGTCCTCCAAATCGAGATCAAACGTGATCAAGAAATGGTCAGACAGCAACGAGCTTTGACGCTGGACGTCAACATTGGAGACATCAGAGCCGTAGGTCAAGACAAGGTCCAAGGTGTGGTTATGAATGTGAGTAGGTTCCTCAACATTCTGAGTAAAACCAACACCATCTAGTACGGCGCTGAAAGCTTTGTTTAAGCTGTCCTACTAGTGTCTATGCCCCCCTTTACTCCTACTAGTGTCTATGCCCCCCTTTGCTCCTACTAGTCTATGCCCCCCTTTGCTCCTACTAGTCTATGCCCCCCTTTGCTCCTACTAGTGTCTATGCCCCCCTTTACTCCTACTAGTGTCTATGCCCCCCTTTGCTCCTACTAGTCTATGCCCCCTTTACTCCTACTAGTCTATGTCCCCCTTTGCTCCTGCTGGTCCATGTCCCCCTTTGCTCCTACTAGTCTATGTCCCCCTTTGCTCCTTCTAGTCCATGTCCCGCTTTGCTCCTGCTAGTCCGTGTCCCCCTTTGCTCCTGCTGGTCCATGTCCCCCTTTGCTCCTGCTGGTCCATGTCCCCCTTTGCTCCTACTAGTCTATGCCCCCCTTTGCTCCTACTAGTCTATGCCCCCCTTTGCTCCTACTAGTGTCTATGCCCCCCTTTACTCCTACTAGTGTCTATGCCCCCCTTTGCTCCTACTAGTCTATGCCCCCTTTACTCCTACTAGTCTATGTCCCCCTTTGCTCCTACTAGTCCATGTCCCCCGTTGCTCGTGCTGGTCCATGTCCCCCTTTGCTCCTACTAGTCTATGTCCGCCTTTGCTCCTTCTAGTCCATGTCCCGCTTTGCTCCTGCTAGTCCGTGTCCCCCTTTGCTCCTGCTGGTCCATGTTCCCCTTTGCTCCTGCTGGTCCATGTCCCCCTTTGCTCCTGCTGGTCCGTGTCCCCCTTTGCTCCTGCTGGTCCATGTCCCCCTTTGCTCCTGCTGGTCCTTACCCCGCAGCAGTTTCCCACAGAGACATTATCTTGAGTGGATGTTATTGTCTGTGAACGATGTCATGAGACGATGGATGCTTCCAAAACTCACTACAGCTCCCTACAGCTCTCTACAGCTCACTACAGCTCTCTACAGCTCACTACAGCTCTCTACAGCTCCCTACAGCTCACTACAGCTCTCTACAGCTCACTACAGCTCACTACAGCTCTCTACAGCTCACTACAGCTCACTACGGCTCTCTACAGCTCACTACAGCTCACTACAGCTCACTACAGCTCCCTACAGCTCTCTACAGCTCTCTACAGCTCTCTACAGCTCCCTACAGCTCACTACAGCTCTCTACAGCTCACTACAGCTCACTACAGCTCTCTACAGCTCTCTACAGCTCTCTACAGCTCCCTACAGCTCACTACAGCTCTCTACAGCTCACTACAGCTCACTACAGCTCTCTACAGCTCACTACAGCTCACTACAGCTCACTACGGCTCTCTACAGCTCACTACAGCTCACTACAGCTCTCTACAGCTCACTACAGCTCACTACAGCTCTCTACAGCTCACTACAGCTCACTACAGCTCACTACAGGTCACTACAGCTCTCTACAGCTCTCTACAGCTCCCTACATCTCACTACAGCTCTCTACAGCTCCCTACATCTCACTACAGCTCTCTACAGCTCACTACAGCTCACTACAGCTCTCTACAGCTCACTACAGCTCTCTACAGCTCACTACAGCTCTCTACAGCTCACTACAGCTCACTACAGCTCACTACAGCTCTCTACAGCTCACTACAGCTCTCTACAGCTCACTACAGCTCCCTACAGTTCACTACAGCTCTCTACAGCTCACTACGGCTCTCTACAGCTCACTAAAGCTCTCTACAGCTCACTACAGCTCCCTACAGTTCACTACAGCTCTCTACAGCTCACTACGGCTCTCTACAGCTCGCTACAGCTCTCTACAGCTCTCTACAGCTCTCTACAGCTCACTACAGCTCTCTACAGCTCACTACAGCTCACTACAGCTCATTAAAGTCTTGTTGTGACCAGAAAGAGACCAGAGAGAGACCACAGAGAGAGAGAGACCAGAGAGAGAGACCAGAGAGAGAGACCAGAGAGAGAGACCAGAGAGAGAGACCAGAGAGAGAGAGACCAGAGAGAGAGAGACCAGAGAGAGAGACCAGAGAGAGACCAGAGAGAGAGACCAGAGAGAGACCAGAGAGAGAGAGACCAGAGAGAGACCAGAGAGAGACCAGAGAGAGAGACCAGAGAGAGACCAGAGAGAGAGACCAGAGAGAGAGACCAGAGAGAGAGAACAGAGAGAGACACCAGAGAGAGACACCAGAGGGAGACCAGAGAGAGAGAGACCAGAGCAGAGAGACCAGAGAGAGAGACCAGAGAGAGACCCCAGAGAGAGAGACCCCAGAGAGAGAGAGACCAGAGAGAGAAAACACAGAGGGACCAGCGTCAGAAAGACCAGTGAGAGAAAGACCAGAGAGAGAGAGACCAGAGAGAGAGACCAGAGAGAGACACCAGAGGGAGACCAGAGAGAGAGAGACCAGAGCAGAGAGACCAGAGCAGAGAGACCACAGAGAGAGACCAGAGAGAGAGACCAGAGAGAGAGACCAGAGCAGAGAGACCAGAAAAATCCAAAAATATTAGTTAATTTATTTTTTATGTAGTAATATCAATTTTTTTTTGTTAAAACAATTTTTCTCCCTTTTTCACAAAAAAAAAGTTATTAAGTATTTTATATTCTGACTTCGTTCTTGATTTTAATTTTCCATTTATAGGCTTCAACAGTTTTGGTCGGTTCTGAAACATGGAGAAACAAGGATAATACTCAGCGCTAACACTTCATTGGCTAACAGCTAACAACTGCACATGGCTAACAGCTAACAACTACACATGGCTAACAGCTAACAACTGCACATCGCTAACAGCTAACAACTGCACATGGCTAACAGCTAACAACTGCACATGGCTAACAGCTAACAACTGCACTGATGTATGTTAACAGGGTAGCTCACATAAACATTTGTAATATATGACTTGGATCGTGCGCTCTGATTGGCTGATTTGTGGTCTGATTTTTTCCCATCTCAGACCGTTACCATGACAATCGGTCCGCATGCAGCGTGTATCAGATTTGATGTCTTTCCTTGGTAAAAAAGAAATCATGAGATGCACAACTTGGTTACAGACCAGAAAGGTAAAACCAGGACCAGGAAAACCAAGTGGGACATGAACATCACAGATATGTAAAAAGCATTGGTAAAGACACAGACTGAGAACTTACAGCGGGCGCCTCAATCCTCTGATCAGTTCTTCATGTCACAGTTTGACACTTTGGTCAAATGGGTTTTTAGTTCAAACCGATGGACATTTTCATAAATTAAAAACAGTCATATAATAAAACAATTATTAACCTCGCGCTCGTTTAATAATCCGTTGTTATGCTTCTGCCTTCTCCTTTTGAGCCTGTGTGTTGTAATCCTGGTGGTGTTATGTCAGTTATGTCAGTTATTTCAGTTATGTCAGTTATGTCAGTTACAGTGCCTTGCGAAAGTATTTGGCCCCTTGAACCTTTCAACATTTCGCCACATTTCACGCTTCAAACATAAAGATATAAAAATACAATTTTTTGTCAAGAATCAACAACAAGTGGGACACAATCGTGAAGTGGAACAAAATTTATTGAATAATTTATACTTTTTTAACAAATAAAAAACTGAAAAGTAGGGCGTGCAATATTATTCGGCCCCTTGCGCTAATACTTTGTAGCGCCACCTTTTGCTGCAATTACTGCTGCAAGTCGCCTGGGGTATGTCTCTATCAGTTTTGCACATTGAGAGACTGGAATTATTTCTCATTCTTCCTTGCAAAACAGCTCGAGCTCAGTGAGGTTGGATGGAGAGCGTTTGTGAACAGCAGTCTTCAGCTCTTTCCACAGATTCTCGATTGGATTCAGGTCTGGACTTTGACTTGGCCATTCTAACACCTGGATACGTCTATTTGTGAACCATTCCATTGTAGATTTGGCTTTATGTTTTGGATCATTGTCCTGTTGGAAGATAAATCTCCGTCCCAGTCTCAGGTCTTTTGCAGACTCCAACAGGTTTTCTTCCAGAATGGTCCTGTATTTGGCTCCATCCATCTTCCCATCAATGTTAGCCATCTTCCCTGTCCCTGCTGAAGAAAAGCAGGCCCAAAGCATGATGCTGCCACCACCATGTTTGACAGTGGGGATGGTGTGTTCAGGGTGATGAGCTGTGTTGCTTTTACGCCAAACATATCGTTTTGCATTGTGGCCAAAAAGTTCAATTTTAGTTTCATCTGACCAGAGCACCTTCTCCCACATGTTTGGTGTGTCATTCACTAAAACGCAACATGGAGGACTTGGCTCTGGCAGGTTTTGGTTCTGGCTGTAGTCTTCCTGGTGTGGTCTTCCTGGTGTGGTCTTCCTGGTGTGGTCTTCCTGGTGTAGTCTCCCTGGTGTGGTCTTCCTGGTGTGGTCTTCCTGGTGTAGTCTTCCTGGTGTGGTCTTCCTGGTGTGGTCTTCCTGGTGTGGTCTTCCTGGTGTGGTCTTCCTGGTGTGGTCTTCCTGGTGTGGTCTTCCTGGTGTAGTCTTCCTGGTGTGGTCTTCCTGGTGTAGTCTTCCTGGTGTAGTCTTCCTGGTGTGGTCTTGCTGGTGTGGTCTTCCTGGTGTGGTCTTCCTGGTGTGGTCTTCCTGGTGTGGTCTTCCTGGTGTGGTCTTCCTGGTGTGGTCTTCCTGGTGTGGTCTTCCTGGTGTGGTCTTCCTGGTGTGGTCTTCCTGGTGTGGTCTTCCTGGTGTGGTCTTCCTGGTGTGGTCTTACTGGTGTAGTCTTCCTGGTGTAGTCTCCTGTGTGGTCTTAGTGTGGTCTTCCTTGTGTGGTCTTCCTGGTGTAGTCTTCCTGGTGTGGTCTTCCTGGTGTGGTCTTAGTGTGGTCTTCCTGGTGTGGTCTTCCTGGTGTTGTCTTCCTGGTGTGGTCTTCCTGGTGTGGTCGTCCTGGTGTGGTCTTCCTGGTGTGGTCTTCCTGGTGTAGTCTTCCTGGTGTGGTCTTCCTGGTGTGGTCTTCCTGGTGTAGTCTTCCTGGTGTAGTCGTCCTGGTGTGGTCTTAGTGTGGTCTTCCTGGTGTGGTCTTCCTGGTGTGGTCGTCCTGGTGTGGTCTTCCTGGTTTGTTCGTCCTGGTGTGGTCTTTCTGGTGTGGTCGTCCTGGTGTGGTCTTAGTCTGGTCTTCCTTGTGTGGTCTTGCTGGTGTGGTCTTCCTGGTGTAGTCTTCCTGGTGTGATCTTGCTGGTGTAGTTTTCCTGGTGTGGTCTTCCTGGTGTAGTCTTCCTGGTGTGGTCATCCTCGTGTGGTCTTAGTGTGGTCTTCCTGGTGTGGTCTTCCTGGTGTGGTCTTCCTGGTGTAGTCTTCCTGGTGTGGTCGTCCTGGCGTGGTCGTCCTGGTGTGGTCTTCCTGGTGTAGTCTTCCTGGTGTGGTCTTGGTGTGGTCTTCCTGGTGTGGTCTTCCTGGTGTAGTCTTCCTGGTGTGGTCTTAGTGTGGTCTTCCGGGAGTGGTCGTCCTGGTGTGGTCGTCCTGGTGTAGTCTTAGTGTGGTCTTCCTGGTGTGGTCTTCCTGGTGTGGTCTTCCTGGTGTGGTCTTCCTGGTGTAGTCTTCCTGGTGTGGTCGTCCTGGTGTAGTCTTCCTGGTGTGGTCGTCCTGGTGTGGTCTTAGTGTGGTCTTCCTGGTGTGGTCTTCCTTGTGTTGTCTTCCTGGTGTGGTCGTCCTGGTGTGGTCGTCCTGGTGTGGTCTTCCTGGTGTGGTCTTCCTGGTGTAGTCTTCCTGGTGTGGTCTTCCTGGTGTGGTCTTCCTGGTTTAGTCTTCCTGGTGTGGTCTTCCTGGTGTAGTCTTCCTGGTGTGGTCTTCCTGGTTTGGTCTTCCTGGTGTGTTCGTCCTGGTGTGGTCTTTCTGGTGTGGTCGTCCTGGTGTGGTCTTAGTCTGGTCTTCCTGGTGTGGTCTTGCTGGTGTGGTCTTCCTGGTGTAGTCTTCCTGGTGTGATCTTGCTGGTGTAGTTTTCCTGGTGTGGTCTTCCTGGTGTAGTCTTCCTGGTGTGGTCATCCTCGTGTGGTCTTAGTGTGGTCTTCCTGGTGTGGTCTTCCTGGTGTGGTCTTCCTGGTGTAGTCTTCCTGGTGTGGTCGTCCTGGCGTGGTCGTCCTGGTGTGGTCTTCCTGGTGTAGTCTTCCTGGTGTGGTCTTGGTGTGGTCTTCCTGGTGTGGTCTTCCTGGTGTAGTCTTCCTGGTGTGGTCTTAGTGTGGTCTTCCGGGTGTGGTCGTCCTGGTGTGGTCGTCCTGGTGTAGTCTTAGTGTGGTCTTCCTGGTGTGGTCTTCCTGGTGTGGTCTTCCTGGTGTAGTCTTCCTGGTGTGGTCGTCCTGGTGTGGTCGTCCTGGTGTAGTCTTCCTGGTGTGGTCTTCCTGGTCTGGTCTTCCTGGTGTAGTCTTCCTGGTGTGGTCGTCCTGGTGTAGTCTTAGTGTGGTCTTCCTGGTGTGGTCTTCCTGGTGTGGTCTTCCTGGTGTAGTCTTCCTGGTGTGGTCTTCCTGGTGTGGTCTTCCTGGTGTGTTGTTCCTGGTGTGGTCTTCCTGGTGTAGTCTTCCTGGTGTGGTCTTCCTGGTGTAGTCTTCTTGGTGTAGTCTTAGTGTGGTCTTCCTGGTGTGGTCGTCCTGGTGTGGTCTTGGTGTAGTCTTCCTGGTGTGGTCTTCCTGGTGTGGTCGTCCTGGTGTGGTCTTAGTGTGGTCTTCCTGGTGTGGTCTTCCTGGTGTGGTCGTCCTGGTATGGTCTTCCTGGTGTGGTCGTCCTGGTGTGGTCGTCCTGGTGTGGTCTTTGTGTGGTCTTCCTGGTGTGGTCTTGCTGGTGTGGTCTTCCTGGTGTAGTCTTCCTGGTGTGGTCTTGCTGGTGTAGTCTTCCTGGTGTGGTCTTCCTGGTGTGGTCTTCCTGGTGTAGTCTTCCTGGTGTGGTCTTCCTGGTGTGGTCTTCCTGGTGTAGTCTTCCTGGTGTGGTCTTCCTGGTTTGGTCTTCCTGGTGTGGTCTTCCTGGTGTAGTCTTCCTGGTGTGGTCTTACTGGTGTAGTCTTCCTGGTGTAGTCCTCCTGTGTGGTCTTAGTGTGGTCTTCCTTGTGTGGTCTTCCTGGTGTAGTCTTCCTGGTGTGGTCGTCCTGGTGTGGTCTTAGTGTGGTCTTCCTGGTGTGGTCTTCCTGGTGTTGTCTTCCTGGTGTGGTCGTCCTGGTGTGGTCGTCCTGGTGTGGTCTTCCTGGTGTGGTCTTCCTGGTGTAGTCTTCCTGGTGTGGTCTTCCTGGTGTGGTCTTCCTGGTTTAGTCTTCTGGTGTGGTCGTCCTGGTGTGGTCTTAGTGTGGTCTTCCTGGTGTGGTCTTCCTGGTGTGGTCGTCCTGGTGTGGTCTTCCTGGTTTGTTCGTCCTGGTGTGGTCTTTCTGGTGTGGTCGTCCTGGTGTGGTCTTAGTCTGGTCTTCCTTGTGTGGTCTTGCTGGTGTGGTCTTCCTGGTGTAGTCTTCCTGGTGTGATCTTGCTGGTGTAGTTTTCCTGGTGTGGTCTTCCTGGTGTAGTCTTCCTGGTGTGGTCATCCTCGTGTGGTCTTAGTGTGGTCTTCCTGGTGTGGTCTTCCTGGTGTGGTCTTCCTGGTGTAGTCTTCCTGGTGTGGTCGTCCTGGCGTGGTCGTCCTGGTGTGGTCTTCCTGGTGTAGTCTTCCTGGTGTGGTCTTGGTGTGGTCTTCCTGGTGTGGTCTTCCTGGTGTAGTCTTCCTGGTGTGGTCTTAGTGTGGTCTTCCGGGTGTGGTCGTCCTGGTGTGGTCGTCCTGGTGTAGTCTTAGTGTGGTCTTCCTGGTGTGGTCTTCCTGGTGTGGTCTTCCTGGTGTGGTCTTCCTGGTGTGGTCTTCCTGGTGTGGTCGTCCTGGTGTGGTCCTCCTGGTGTGGTCTTCCTGGTGTGGTCTTCCTGGTCTGGTCTTCCTGGTGTGGTCTTCCTGGTGTGGTCGTCCTGGTGTGGTCTTAGTGTGGTCTTCCTGGTGTGGTCTTCCTGGTGTGGTCTTCCTGGTGTGGTCTTCCTGGTGTGGTCTTAGTGTGGTCTTCCTGGTGTGGTCGTCCTGGTGTGGTCTTCCTGGTGTGGTCTTAGTGTGGTCTTCCTGGTGTGGTCTTCCTGGTGTAGTCTTCCTGGTGTGGTCTTCCTGGTGTGGTCTTAGTGTGGTCTTACTGGTGTGGTCTTCCTGGTGTGGTCTTCCTGGTGTAGTCTTCCTGGTGTGGTCGTCCTGGTGTGGAGTGCTCTGCTGTTGTCAATAAAACTCTCTCCCATCATCACAGAAAGGTTTGCTGCTGATCACTGATTACAGACATGTTATTGGCTCTTGCTAGTCCCTCTCTATGGTCTCTCTCTCTCTCTATTCTCTTTCTGGTCTCTCTCTGTTCTCTCACTGCTCTTTCTCTCTCTCTCTCTCTGGCCTCTCTCTGGTATCTCTCTGGTCCCTTTCTGGTCCCTCTCTAGTGCCTCTCTCTTTCTCTCTCTCTCTCTCTGGTCTCTCTCTCTCTCTCTCTGCTCTCTCTCCACTTTCCCTCCACTCTCTCTCCGCTCTCTCTCTCCGCTCTCCCTCCGCTCTCTCTCTCCGCTCTCTCTCTCCGCTCTCCCTCTGCTCTCTCTCTCTCTCTCTCCTCTCTCTGCTCTCCCTTCCCTCCTCTCTCTCCTCTCTCTCTCTCCGCTCTCCCTCCGCTCTCTCTCTCTCTCTCCGCTGTCCCTCCGCTCTCTCTCTCTCCGCTCTCTCTCCGCTCTCTCTCTCCGCTCTCTCTCTCCGCTCTCTCTCTCCGCTCTCCCTCCGCTCTCTCTCTCTCTCTCCGCTGTCCCTCTGCTCTCTCTCTCTCTCTCTCTCTCTCTCTCTCCCTCCGCTCTCGCTCTCTCTCTCCGCTCTCTCTCTCCGCTCTCTCTCTCTCTCTCTGTTATTTGCTCGTCACACTGCTGTAGATATAATCGGTGGTTGTGTTTTTATGTGAGCTCTGGTGAAAGTCAAATTAGAAACAGAAGAAAATGAAGCAGCAGTAAAAGTTTATTACAGAGTTTAGTCTCAGTTTGTGTGAGACGCAGATCAGGTCTGAGAGAATCTATCAGACAGAGAGAGACCAGAGAGAGACCAGAGAGAGACCAGAGAGAGACCGGAGAGAGAGAGACCAGAGAGAGACCAGAGAGAGGGGCTAGAGCAGGGGTTGGTAACTCAAAAAGTTCAAAGAGCCATACTTGACCAGAAACACAAAAAACAAATCTGTCTGGAGCCGCATAAACATCTTGTATAAGGTTTATATGAAAGTAACACAGGCTGTGAGCTGTATTAGCTACTATCAAAATGAGTAAGTATAGGCTACAAACACATAATATGCATTCATGATTATTATATACATTATCACTGTAGTGCCAGAGAGTGACGCACCATGTGACTCTGCTATACCATATATGCTTTAAGTTTAACTTTCCTTTTGTTGCATTCATGCAATTGCAGAAATACAGTAAATAAATCCGTGTTTGGCTCAGAGTTCACACACCTGCATTACAGCGCTGTCTGTTCATATCCATCACGTCACACGTCGTCACGGCTGGAGTTGGCTGGAGCTGAATGTCCTGAACGAAGTTTGCACTTCTTTGTTCCTTGTGTTGCAACAAAATTCAGTAGAAGAAGTTTGGAGATGAATCTGCTCCGGAATAACTGCGATCGCAGTGTTTCTCTCCAAACTGGGGTCAGCTCCGATGTTCCACGTGACTCTTTTTGTTCTTTGATATATCCTCACAAAGCAAACATGAAGCAGTCCTTCCTCTTTGACTCAATGAGAGAAAATGTTCCAGCTCATTCTTCCTTGAGTTCCTGGTTCTTATCAACTCTTTCTCTTCATAGCTTTGGGATTCCTGTGGCACAAGCCGGTCTGTTTACAACAGCGGGCGCCCGGCGCAGGGCCGTGTAACCGCGCGTCACAGGATATGACGCATATCTCAGTTGACACAAATGTTAAAAATGAATATTTCTTATGCACATTTTTACTACATTGGAAAACGTTAAGAATGTTGTCCCTCCAACAGAAACCACATTGAAACTAGAAATAAAACATATCCCTCCCACTCCATTTTCAGACATTTTTGAAAAGGCTCCAGGAGGGGCACTAAAGAGCCACATGCAGACCCAAGGACTAGAGAGAGAGACTAAAGAAAGAGACCATAGAGAGACCAGAGAGCAAGACCAGAAAGTGACCAGATAGACACAAGAGAGACCAATCATCCGTCTCTGCAGTGGATAGAAACATGTTCTCTTCATTTTGTGGTGAACTAAAAACTAAACTAAAAAAGCATATTTTGGAGAGATCTTTTCTTCTATTGTAGAAGCACCATTTGCCGAGCACTCAGCACGAAAGGAACCATGACATTATTATAACGGCTCCATCAAAAGAACAGTCTCTGCTCAGACCAGAGAGAGACCAGAGGGAGACCAGAGGGAGACCAGAGAGAGACCAGCGAGAGACCAGCAAGAGACCAGCTAGAGACCAGCTAGAGACCAGCAAGAGACCAGCAAGGGACCAGCAAGAGACCAGCAAGAGACCAGCAAGAGACCAGCTAGAGACCAGCTAGAGACCAGAGAGAGACCAGCAAGAGACCAGAGAGAGACCAGTGAGAGACCAGAGAAAGTGCCCAGAGAGAGACCAGAGAGAGACCAGAGAGAGACCAGAGAAAGTGCTCAGAGAGAGACCAGAGAGGGCCCAGAGAGAGACCAGAGAGAGACCAGAGAGAGACCAGAGATCTGAAACAGCAGTAGTACAGACTTTTACATGTCACCGATCCCGAACGACAGCAGCTTCGGTCCAGTCTCTTAAAGTCCATTTGCATCTGCTCTCAAATCCCTCACACTTTTTTCCACCAACCAGAAGTCACTGAATCGATGGTCCCCCTCACTCCTGGTCCTTCAGCTCCGCAGATTTCCCTGTCAGGCTCACATCAGTATAATGCAGTCTGCCAGTGTGGGAGGGGCGGGGGAGACGGGGGAGGGGCGGGGGAGACAGGCCACGGTGTCAGCGGTGATGAAAGCTATCTGTCAGGCGGGGTGGGGACCCGGGCTGCCTCCGCTGCCACTCACAGGGTTCCTGGGGGAGCCCGACTTTAACCCTGATGCCCCGAACAGCGCCTGGTTCTGTGGAGAGAGGCCACAGATTGTCAAGACTTCAGCTCTGTCAGCTCCACTCCCCGGCCTCCGCGGACCCGGATCTCAGACACCATTGAGGATCTGTCGAGGCTTTGTGTCGCGGTGAGCGTGTCAAAAGTTTTGGATGTGTGTTTGTTTCGGGGGAGGAGGGGGGAGGGGGGAGGAAGTGTCACTCTGAAAAAGGACTTAGATCGAAGAATATTCCGATGTTGACGAGAGAGCAGGGCGTATGAGGACGGAGGAAAGAGCTGTGGAAGCTTTAACCACTTTGTCAATATTCAGCTATAGGTACAAGTGAGACACTGCAAGATCCAGAGAGAGAACAGAGAGAGACCAGAGAGAGAGACCAGAGAGAGAGACCAGAGAGAGAGACCAGAGAGAGAGACCAGAGAGAGAGACCAGAGAGAGAGACCAGAGAAAGAGACCAGAGAGAGACCAGAGAGAGAGGCCACAGAGAGAGACAGAGAGAGAGACCAGAGACAGAGGCTGGAGAGTGGAGAGAGACCACAGAGAGAGGCCAGAGAGAGAGAACAGAGAGAGACCAGAGAGAGAGGCCACAGAGAGAGACCAGAGAGAGACCAGAGAGAGAGACCAGAGAGAGACCAGAGAGAGACCAGAGAGAGAGACCAGAGAGAGACCAGAGAGAGAGACCAGAGAGAGAGACCAGAGAGAGAGACCAGAGAGAGAGACCAGAGAGAGAGACCGGAGACAGAGGCTGGAGAGAGAGGCCAGAGAGGAGACCAGAGAGAGAGGCCGGAGAGAGAGAGACCAGAGAGAGACCAGAGAGAGGCCAGAGAGAGAGACCAGAGAGAGAGACCAGAGAGAGACCAGAGAGAGAGACCAGAGCGAGACCAGAGAGAGACCAGACAGAGAGAGATCAGGGAGAGAGATCTTGGATGTTTTGTTTATGATTTGTCGGAGTTTGTTGCGAGAGTGAGAATAATGCATTGGTTTTCTACAGCGCTCTTTGGGAGCAGCTCCATTCATTTGAACGAGAGACTTCAAAAATTCACAGCGACTAAACGAGACTGGTCCAAAACACCCCCCTCAGCATTGACACACATGTGGAACGGAGCTTTGGGCCAAGAGACAACTTTTGGTCCATCCTGTAAAGACGTTTTCGAGAGGTCTGCCAACGCTATATGTTAGCATTGGCTAATTCTTCTTCTGGGTCCACCCCCACAGGCCCGGGGTGGTATTGCAGCATGTCAACGCACATCATTTTGGCCACTTTTGAGCTGTGACCCGCCCCCTCTGGCATACAGTCTGTGTTAAGATAAGATAAGATAAGAATTCCTTTATTCGTCCCACAGTGGGGAAGTTTCGATGTTGCAGCGCACAGACAGGACAGTAGTAAGAGCACACAGGGATCACACAATATATACACTATATACAAATAAGTAGTAGCTATGTTTCTTAGCTAACATAACTATTATCTTATCTTAGCATTAGCCTCTGTATACAGTCTATGAATACGCAGATACAGCCAACATGGTTAAAACATATTTTCTTTTCCATAACATTGCTCCTACGGATACAAAACCAAGCCTTTCCATTCCGTTTTTCCCGACTCCTTGCATCTGAGAGTTTCCCGGGCGGCGATGGAGGACGTGGTGTTTTTCCTAACGGCGTCTCTCTCAGAAGAACGACTCTCCAGTGTCCCGCAGTCAGAGCTGAACTTGGAGACTCTTCTACAAAGACCAGACCGGGCCCGGCACCACACTGAGGGATCCACGGAGAGGGTTCTGCCCTCCGTCTGAGAGCCCTCCGCCGGCTACATCTCACAGAAAGAAAAAAGCATCTCAAACTCTACATACGGCGAGTCCTTCTGTGAGTTAGAGAGATTAAAGGGGACGTGGTGTGAGGGCGGGGGCTTTGTTCGGGCGCTTCAGATGGACGGCTTTGATAAGTGTCAGAGGCGGCGTGTTGTAACCGTGGGAACTGAGCAGATCTGATCAAGAAAAAGTAAAAGAAACATCACATTTGAACATTGTGTGTGCGCTTTGGGAACCTACAGATAAACACGACTTACTGACATAGGCATAGTGGAACTGGGTCTCTCTCTCTGGTCTCTCTCTAGTCTCTCTCTGGTCTCTCTGTGGTCTCTCTCTAGTCTCTCTCTGGTCTCTCTCTGTGGTCTCTCTCTGGTCTCTCTCTGGTCTCTCTCTGGTCTCTCTCTCTGGTCTCTCTGGTCTCTCTGGTCTCTCTCTGGTCTCTCTGGTCTCTCTCTGGTCTCTCTCTGGTCTCTCTCTGCTCTCTGGTCTCTCTCTGTTCTCTCTGCTCTCTCTCTCTGCTCTCTCTCTTTGCTCTCTCTTTCTGCTCTCTCTCCCTGGTCTCTCCCTCAGCTCTCTCTCTGGTCTCTCTCTCTGCTCTCTGGTCTCTCTCTGGTCTCTCTCAGGTCTCTCTCTGCTCTCTCTGCTCTCTCTCTGCTCTCTCCCTGCTCTCTCTCTCTCTGCTCTCTCCCTGCTCTCTCTCTCTACTCTCCCTGCTCTCTCTCTGCTCTCTCTCTGCTCTCTCTCTCTGCTCTCTCTCCCTGGTCTCTCTCTCTGCTCTCTCTCTCTGGTCTCTCTAGTTTCTCTCTCGGGTCTCTCTCTGGTCTCTCCCTGGTCTCTCTCTCTGGTCTCTCTCTGTTCTCTCTCTGCTCTCTCTCTCTGCTCTCTCCCTCTGCTCTCTCTCCCTGCTCTCTCTTTACTCTCTCTCTCTTCTATCATGCCACAATAATCCAAATCCAAATATGTTTTTATTGCAAACACAAGTATCAGAAATCAGGAATTGTCTTTGGCTCAAGGTGCAATAGTTTTTAAAATTCCAATTTCATAGTCGTGCCTCTGACTCAAGGAATGGTTGTTTCTGTCGGCACCTGCTGCACACGTGACCATTCCATAATAATAATAATAATAATGATAATAATAATGATAATAATAATAATAATAATAATAATAATACTCAGTCTGGTGTGAGAGTAATCCATACTTGTGTAAAAGCTTCTCTGTGGAGTCTGTTTACATTTGTATCACTGTTGTCGCTCCAGACCATTTCAGACCAGTGTCTCCCGTTGTACAAACCTCTCTCTCTCTCTCTCTCTAGTCTCTCTCTGGTCTCTCTCTTTCTCTCTAGTCTCTCTCGCTCTATCTCTCTCTCTCTCTCTCTCACATCGATGTTTGGATACAGTGTCATGGAGTAAAAACAAAAGCTGAAGGTCTTTTTTTATACTGACCACAAATAGTGGATCAAGTTTATGTTTCAGACCAGTGTCTCCCGTTGTACAAACCTCTCTTTCTGGTCTCTCTCTCTGGTCTCTCTCTCTGGTCTCTCTCTGGTCTCTCTCTGGTCTCTCTCTGGTCTCTCTCTGGTCTCTCTCTGGGCTCTCTCTCTGGTCTCTCTCTGGTCTCTCTCTGGTCTCTCTCTCTTTCTCTGGTAGCTCTCTCTCTCTCTCTTGCTCTGGTCTCTCTCTGGTCTCTCTCTCTGGTCTCTCTCTCTGGTCTCTCTCTGGTCTCTCTCTGGTCTCTCTCTGGTCTCTCTCTGGTCTCCCTCTGGTCTCTCTCTGGTCTATCTCTCTGGTCTCTCTCTCTGGTCTCTCTCTGCTCACTCTCTGGTCTCTCTCTGGTCTCTCTCCCTCTCTCTTTCTCTGGTAGCTCTCTCTCTCTCGCTCTGGTCTTTCTCTCTGCCCTCTCTCTCTCTTGTCTCTCTGCTAGCTCTCTCTCTCTTGCTCTGGTCTCTCTCTCTCTCTCTCTCTCTTTCCCTCTCTCTGGTCCTCTCTGGTCCTCTCTGTACTCTCACCTTCTCTCCCAAACTCTCTCTCTTCTCTCTCTCCTCCTCAGTCCTCGGTGCGCCACGTAAACATAAATGTCTGTAAATGCTCCCACGCCTCGTCCGGGTGTGTGGCCCCGAGGCTCTCCGCACGCTCTGCTGTGACCTACTGCGTAAACAGGAGAGAAACCCCCCCCCAGGTCGAATCTTGACCTCAAAGGCAGCAATTTCCTCCCATTGAAATGAACGAGGCCATTAGTGCTGTGAGTGTGTGAGTGCTGCTGCTGTGGGGACCGGTCTGAGGTTTAGGAGCGTAATGAGTCCTCGTTTTACAGCCTCTCTCTCTCTAGTCTCTCTCTGGTCTCTCTCTGGTCTCTCTGGTCTCTCTGGTCTCTCTTTCTGGTCTCTCTGGTCTCTCTTTCTGTTCTCTTTCTGGTCTCTCTCTGGCCTCTCTCTAGTCTCTCTCTGGTCTCTCTCTGGTCTCTCTGGTCTCTCTTTCTGGTCTCTTTCTGGTCTCTCTCTAGTCTCTCTCTGGTCTCTCTCTGGTCTCTCTGGTCTCTCTTTCTGGTCTCTCTGGTCTCTCTTTCTGGTCTCTCTCTGGCCTCTCTCTAGTCTCTCTCTAGTCTCTCTCTGGTCTCTCTCTGGTCTCTCTGGTCTCTCTTTCTGTTCTCTTTCTGGTCTCTCTCTGGCCTCTCTCTAGTCTCTCTCTGGTCTCTCTCTGGTCTCTCTGGTCTCTCTTTCTGGTCTCTCTGGTCTCTCTTTCTGGTCTCTTTCTGGTCTCTCTCTGGCCTCTTTCTAGTCTCTCTCTGGTCTCTCTCTGGTCTCTCTTTCTGGTCTCTCTGGTCTCTCTTTCTGGTCTCTCTCTGGCCTCTCTCTAGTCTCTCTCTGGTCTCTCTCTGGTCTCTTATTCTGGTCTCTTTCTGGTCTCTCTCTGGTCTCTCTCTGGTCTCTCTGGTCTCTCTTTCTGGTCTCTCTGGTCTCTCTTTCTGGTCTGTCTTTAGTCTTTCTTTGGTCTGTATGATCTCTCTCTTGCTCTCTCTCTCTCTCTATCTCTTTGGTCTCTCTCTGGTCTCTCCCTCTCTTATTCTCGCTGGTTTCTCTCTATTTCTTGCTGCTCTCTCAATGGTCTCTATCTGCTCTCTCACTCTGCTCTCTCTCTCTCTCTCTCTCTCTCTCTCTCTCTCTCTCTCTCTGGTCTGTCTTTCTCTCGCTGGTTTCTCTCTATCTCTTGCTGCTCTCTCTCTGGCCTCTCTCTGGTCTCTGTTTCTGCTCTCTCACTCTGCTCTCTCTCTTTCTCCATCTGCTCTCTCACTCTGCTCTCTCTCTCTCTGGTGTCTTTCGGCCCAAACTTGTATTGAATATGACCTTTGTCCAGTAATGGTTGTGTCTGTGTGAGTTTGGGGGTGCTCTCTCTCCCAACGCCTCGTAACAGAAACATAACTGTCTGGAGAGCAGCCAGAAGACGAGAGAGACCAGATGTTCTAGACCAGTGCTCTCTCCTGTTCCACTTTCCATGGACTCCTCCTGTGTTTCAATAAAGCATCATCTGCACCTGTGGCTTTGTACCTTTGTGCTGAACATAAAGATACTCTCCAACGTTCATGAAATACTGCAACAATATGAAAGAAGAATTTGAGCATTTTTGAGGTTTTTACAATCACTGCCTTCACTCAAACAGCTACATGTCTCTTTCTGGTCTCTCTCTTCTCTTTGGTCTCTCTCTCTACCTATCTCTCCGGTCTCTCTCCCTGGTCTCTCTATGGTCTTTCTGGTCTCTCTGGTCTCTCTCTGATCTCAATCAATCAATCAATTGGTCTCTCTCTCTACCTGTCTCTCCGGTCTCTCTCTCCGGTCTCTCTCTGGTCTCTCTCTGCTCTCTTTCTGGTCTCTCTCTGGCCTCTCTCTGGTCTCTCTCTGGCCTCTCTCTGGTCTCTCTCTGGTCTCTCTCTGGTCTCTCTCTGGCCTCTCTT